TTCTTATATATTTATTACAGAGACACGAACTTCCTCTCTGACCCTGTCTTCTGCAATGCTGTTCTGGCATAAGCCCTTGAGCCTGGGAAAGGGATATACAACTAGTGGATATCTCTGCAGGTCTAAATAACGATTTGTAGTACGGAGTAGAGACTACATATATAAGGCACTTAGTTCCACATCTGACAAAAAATTGACATTAACAAAAAAGTAGAGGCCAGGGTTGGTGGCTCATGCCTGTAATCCCAGCACTCTGGGAGGCCAAGGCGGCCAGATTACTTGAGGTCAGGAGTTCGAGACTAGCCTGGCCAACATGGTGAAATCCCATCTCGACTAAAAATACAAAAATTAGCCGGGCATGGTGGCGGGCGCCTGTACTCCCAGCTACTCAGGAGGCTGAGGCAGGAGAATTGCTTGAACCCAGGAGGTGGAGGTTGCAGTGAGCCAAGATTGGGCCATTGCACTCCAGCCTGGATGACAAGAGCAAGACTCTGTCTCAAAAAAAAAAAAAAATTATATATATATATATCTTAGTTCTGTCCACTGAAAGGCTCTGAAAGCAACAATACCCTGGCAAAAGTTAGCTTTCTTAATTCCAGGTCTTGGTTTCTAAATACTTTCTTACTAGTATTTGAAAAAACCAGAGATTCCTGTGGAAATGGCTGAATTCCATGACTGGAGTAGGAAAAGTACAAATTATGCCTGGAATATCTAGTACCAGAAAGCAAGGAAGTGCTTAAAGACTAATGGGCATGTTACAAAAAGACACAAGGAGGCCAGCTTCAAGGGGGTCTGCTAGCTGCAATATAGGCATTTTGAGCACCAGAAATGACTGTGACTAATTATTAAAAAGTGAATAAATACAAATCCATGAATTGGAGAGAGAGGGAGAGTATGAGCTTGAGGAAGAACCCTCATTTAAATTATTTAGTGTAACTATTATATCAAATTATCTCTTTGAAAACTGTAATTAAAGGGAAATAATTAAGCATTTTTTTGCCTCTTTAGGAGAAACTTTTGTTCAATCCAGATGATGAGACAAAACTCTTTAAAAAAAAATAGAGCAATGCTAGCTAATAAGTGTACAAAAAAATGTGAAAATTAGAAAATCCTCAATTTTCCATCCCGGTGAAATAACCAACTTAGGTAAGGATCATCAATAGATGCTAAAATAATTAGGTGAAAAGTCACTGGGGAAAGAATATTGCAAGAGGAATGGATAACTTAGAAGAAAAGCACAAATTCCTAGAAACATGCAACCTACCAAGACTAAATTATGAAGAGACAGAAAATCTGAACAGACCAATAACAAGTAAGGAGATTGAATCAGGAATCAAAAATCTCCTACCAAAGAAAAGCTCAAGGCCTGATGGCTTCATTGCTGAATTCCACCAAACATTTAAAGAACAACTAATACCAATACTTCTCAAACTCTTCTAAAACTTTGAAGAGGAGGGAATGCTTCCAAACTCATTTCAAAAGGCCAGCATAACCCTGATACTAAAGCCAGGCAAGGAAAAAAAAAACTATGGGCCAACATCCCTGATGAACATAGATGCAAAAATCCTCGGCATAATATTAGCAAACTGAATTCGACAGCATCTTAAAAGGATCATTCACCATGTTCAGGTGAGATCTATCCCTGGGATGCATGCATGGATCTACATATGCAAATCAATACATGTGATACATCAACTTAACAGAACCCAGGATGAGAAGCCCACAAATAACTTGTTAACTGCAAAGGGAAAGACAACCTGTACGATGGAGAAATCTCCTAATCGAATGGTCAAATTTAGCATCACTAAAGGTGAGATGGCTCCTGAGGTGATGCAACATAAAGTTCCAGGCACAGAGTATGAGGCATTCTTGCCAAAATGTTTAAACAGAATCAAATCAAAATCTTAGCCCTAACTTCCAGTTTATAAGAAGCACATGGTACAAAGGAGCAAGTAAAATAAGACCATGAACACATTACCAGACTAATCAAAAATGTGAGACATTCAACAAGATATCTGGCCTCTTCTGTCCAAAATAGCAAAGCATTAGGGGAAAAAATGGTGGAAATTTCTAGATAAACAGATTCTAGAGACATAAGAAGCAAATGCCTCAACCCAGACCATATTCTGGTTTGAGGGGAAAAAATAAACAGCTGTAAAAGACAATTGTGGAACAATCTGGGGAATCCTGAATGTGGAACTTGGCGATTAGCTTATCTTCAGGATTATATTAGGGAATGATAGGTAATTTTCTCAGTTGCAATAATAGTGTTAGGGCTTTATAGGGAATGTCATTATTAGGAGTTACAAAATGAAGTATTTAAGGTATAATCTTGTGTAAAACATATCTCAAATGGTTCGGGGGAAAACACATACATTATATATCCATTCACTAAATATGGCAAAATATTAAGTGTTAAATCTAGATGATGGGTCTATGAATTCTCATAGTACTGGTTTTTCATATTTTCTTTATGTTTGAAAATATGTATGTTAAAAAGGTGAGAATAAAAGGAAAGGCATCTTTTTAATGAATGAGATGTGGGGAGATGATCCTTGAACATTTTAGAGGTTGTAAAGGCTTTTCTTTATTGTTCGTTTATTCTCTGTTCCCTTATATAAGCCAGGTATTAGGCTAGGTATGGAAATACGAAAAGGAGTAAGATAAGGCAGCTGCTTTCAAGGATCTCACTGTCTAGGGGAGGGGAAACACACATATCTCAACACCATGGAGTGAGTGTGATGACAGAGATATGCATTCGGTCAACAAATATGTCCTATGTGCTGGGTGCTGTGTTAGGTGCTGAAGATACAATGAAGGAAGCAAGCATGGTCCTTGAATTCACCGAGCTCCTATCCCTGTGAGGGAGACACAATGATAGAATCACAATTGTGGAAGGTGCTAGGCATAAAATGTACAGAGTACTACAGCAACAGAGAAGAAAGGAAACACAGCCAGCTCTGGGGTGGGGATTGGGGGTGGGTGGAGAAGAGGCGGCAAAGTTTTAAAGGCTGACTAGAAATCAGTCAATCAGAGGACCTAGAGGTGGGGGTGCAGAGACATGTAGACACAAAATAGCCCCCTGTGCTCAGGCAACTAGACGGAATTGCGGGAGCAGGGAAGGAAGCAATGGGCTGAGGAGATGATGTGAGTGGGTGTCGCATCTTAATGAGCAGATTGAGGAATCTGGGCTTTCTCCTGTAGGCTCCAGGAGCTGAGAACATTCACATCAGGTGATGGCTGCTGCCATGCAAGGCTGGGCCCAAACAGGGGATAGTGTGAATCCTGTTCTTGGCTACATCTCCTCGTGCTTTGGGTGCCTGCCCACTGGGCTCTGTCGGCTCCCTGAAGAACCCCAGGGATTTTCTGGGGTCAACTCTATGCCAGTGGGCAGCAGGAAGGGCTTCAGACTGAACACTTGCTGAGACTCAAGCCATGGGAGCTGGGAATTCTGGAGGAAGAGCAAGAGGGGTTCAGGCAAGAGGCCCACCCATACTGAAGCTTGGTTTCTCCTAGACTTCCATAGGGGATCTTTCCAGGCCTTAAACATAAGTAGAGCTTTAATCCTGACTAATGATACAATCTCACAAATTTAGCCCTCAGGATAGGGATGGCTATTTGCCACTGCCGCAGGAAAATAAAGTTATAAGGATAAACTACTCGGGGCTATTTTACGTACTCGGATATTATCTAACTAGGTGACTGCCTTCTCAAGACTGTGAGCTGTCAGTGACTATGGGTTCATCATTTTTACGCTCTCGGTACTTAGCACAGAGCTAAATGAATCAGGCCTTGCATTATAAAGCCACAGATCTATCTACCGCGTCATATGCTATGGTCCAACTTTCCTGCCCTACCCTGGTGGGCTGACTTTTCTCCCCTAATAACTGTCTCTACTGGTCTGCCCCGAATCTCGGGGTCCAGAAATCTGACCCTTTAACCTGGGGAAGGGTCAGCCAGTAATAGAGAATGGCTCTGGGCCCAGTATTCATCCACCCTTAAGTTGAGGATTCTCCCAATGAAGTAGATATATGCCTGCCAGGACAATCCTGCAGAACGTTAACAGCTAAACGCCTGGGAAAGGGTCCTAGAAGAAAGAAAGCTCCTAACAAGTGCCTGTTGGCATCCCCCAGAATGTGCAAGTTCTGTCATTTTCCCACTCTCATGTCTATGTCTATGTTGTATCTCCTTTCAACAGCAGGAACAAAACCCCAGTCCTTAAGGGTCTGGGCATTAGTGGACAGGAGCCAAGGTGCCTGCGGACAAAGCTCAGGACCCGGGACAAGGTTAGACAGGTGCCATAGCAGCTCCAAACTACCCAAAACCCAGGAACCCACCTACCCAAGACAGCAAGATGATGATGCAAACATAAAGGTCGGGTGGGAAAGGCTGTGTGAAAATGGGAATCCCCCCAGAGCGGGAGGATGTAAAGCAGCAAGTCCTGTATCTGTCTCAAATTACCATGAAATCCCATCTCCTGGAATCCCCCATCAGCAAGTGTCCGCTGTACCTGGCCTGCCACCACCTAAAGACTGAGCGCATCCAGCGGGACTGGGAAAGGCAGGGCGATGCTGGCAGTGAAGGGTAAGTGGGACCACTCGCAAGGAGAGGGGAAGGCGGGCAGGGATGCACTTTGCAGGGATGTGGGGGTGGTGTCTTGAGGGAGCCCACAGAGAAGAGGCCTCCTCCAGAGGAGCGGGTGGCTTGGATGGCCCGTGAAAGTACTCCTGGATCCCTGAACATCCCCACGTCCGGGCCCCTCAGATCCCGGCCGCCAGCCCTGGGAACCTCGGTGGGGCGACGAAGCTGCGGACTGGGGCACCGGCTGCCTCCACGGGCCGGTTCTGACTCAGGGGCTCGGCCCGGAGCTGCTTCATCGGCAGCGGGGCTGACTCAACCCCCTCTGCCCACGGAGTTGTCGCGCGCAGTCAGCGCCCCGAACTCGCGCGCGGCCCGGCGCCCCCTCGGGGCCCACCTCCCTGGCCGGCCGCCGCGCCTACCTGTGCCCGCGGCTCGGCTCCTCCTCGCTGGCGCTGCCCCAGCCGGGGCTGAGGTACCGGGCCGGGTCCCCCGCGCCCCGCGTCTCCGCCCCCTCCTCCTCGTCCTCCAACTCGTCCACGTCCTCGGCCTCCTGGATGGCGACGCGGATCTGCACCGCCGTCTCAGGCCCGGGCCGAGCCTCCCCGCCAGACTGGGCCATGGCTCGCGGGACTGCGGCGCTGCCGGGGTCCTCACGCCGCGAGGCCCAGCCAGCCGGTCGGCAGCGACTGCAACAAGGGGGCGGGGGCGGTGCGAGCGCGCCCGCCGCTCGGCCAGGGGGAGGAACAGGGGTCGCGGCGCCCCGCCCCGCGCCGCCGCCGCCGCCGCCACCACCACCACCACCACCACCCCGACCGCTAGCTGAGCGCCCGCGCAGGCGGGGCCTCGGAGGTGGAGGGCGGCTTTCCGGAGCTCCTCCCGCGGAGGCCTGTCCCGGAAGGATCCCCGCGACCCCCGATCCCTCCCTCCGTCCTCTCGCCGCTGTGGGGCCCTAGCCGGAGAAGAGGCGTCAGGGCTCCCTCCTCCTGCGCCTACTTTCACTGCGCCGCAGGGATGGGCACAGCACAGCTGACTTCTGTTTGTGCTTGACTCCGGGGGTGGCAGGCGCAGACCACAGCTCCAGGGGCTTCCAGGCCTCCTGCGTGTCTTCCCCACTGACGTGCCAAGATGAGAAAATCTCCATCGTTAGTCTCTTTGACATAATAACCACTCTAGATCGTGTCTTAGATCAGGGGCTTGGCTCCTGCCATGCCCTGTATCAGTTTTTCTCCAAGTGTGGTTCCCAGATCAGGAGCATCAGCTGTACCTGGGAACTTGTTAGAAATTGAATTCTTAGGGCTCATCCAGACCTCCTGAATCAGAATCTATGATTCAGAACTTTGTGTTTTAACAAGGCCTCTAGGTGATGCTGAAGTTCACAAAAGTTCGAAAGCCCAGGGCCTATAGAGTATGCCCTGCACATAGTATGCTCTCAGATATTTGTTGAATGAATAAAGGGAGCTATTGAAACGTCAGGATGTTCTAAAACACTGCCACCTTTACACGTGTAGCTTCAAATTGAGTTCCATCTCACCCCTCCAAATGTGACCCAGAAACTAGGGACAGGAGCGTAGAAATGAATAAGACCGGTCGGGCGCAGTGGCTCACGCCTGTAACCTCAGCATTTTGGGAGGCCGAGGCTGGCGGATCACGAGGTCAAGAGATTGAGATCATTCTAGCCAACATGGTGAAACCCCGTCTTTACTAAAAAAATACAAAAAGTAGCTGGACGTGGTGGCGTGCCCCTGTAGTCCCAGCTACTCGGGAGGCTGAGGCAGGAAAATCACTTGAACCTGGGAGGCGGAGGTTGCAGTGAGCCAAGATCGTGCCACTGCACTCCAGCCTGGGCAACAGAGCCAGACTCCAAGAAAGAAAAGAAAAGGCAAGGCAAGGCAGGGCGGGGCAGGGCAAATGAATAAGACCTGAATCTGCTTTCGTGTAGCACTTTATTTAGAGCCTTAAACATAATTTATCATATTAATTTTTCACACTGGGACCCCCAAACAACAGAACCCTGCACCAATATATTTGTTCTGATATAGGAAAGCAAGTTAGGATCGGCTCAGGAAATGAGGCCTCCTGGAGGGCAGTGTCCTTGTAAAAGAACACCGTGTATAGGGTCCTGGGTTTCTGGGCAGGGCTGGGGAGAGATCCAGGGGCCCAGCGAGGACAGTCCCTCTTCTTAAGGACACTAGAATCTGTGTCCCTTTCTTTCTCGGATCTCTCTTTTGATAGAAGAGGTCCTAAAATAAGTAAGTAAAGGAAGAGAGAGAGACCTTTGGTGCTATTGCTGTTTGTGCACCAGAACAGCTCACAGCCCTGGATCTGAGCTACTGGGAAAGGAAGAGGCAAGAGGTTGACAACGTCTTTTTCCAGCCAGCTGTGCCTCCCTCCAGGGCTACAGAGGCTATAAGTCCTCTGCACAGACCTGTGATGAGGCTCAGAAGGACAGAGCTGCATCAGCCACCATGCCTTCCAGTTTGATAATTTCGGTTCCTGACTTTCACAAAGTGATACCCATTATCTGTCTCATTTAAGCCATCTCGTGTGGCAAAGACATCAGGGGTTATTATCCCTACCCACAGTGATGGCTCACATTCGTCTCAGGTTTTATAGTTTATGAACAATTCATACATGTCATTTCAGGGTTTCCAAATGCCTGATCATAAGAGTCCCCTGGGGACTTTTCTTAAAATATAGATTCTGAAAATATAGTTTGAAAACTGACAGTTGGTGGGTGAATCTGGGCTGCAAAAGTGTTTTACTTGGTGAGAGTTTTGAAAAAAAGAAATTGAATTTATATGCCCTTACATTCAAACATATCTGCCTATGTTGTTTCTGTTATTACTAATTTCGGACTCCTCATAAAGGAATTTTGGATCTAGAAAGAATGCCAGACATCATCTAGCTCGGAGCTGCTCCTGGTAGGGAATGGGTAGTCTGGCAGAGTACCCAAGAATGGGTACTCTTGGGGGTACCCATTAAGTCATAGGATAAATATGCGGCATCTTTCTGGGGTATCAATTTTACTTAGATGTTTGAGAGAAGAGCCACAACGTGTATATTAAAACAACTTGTAATATCTGTGAAATCAAATGCAAAACTTGCACAGAATGTTTAAGGCAACTCACATAAGTTTCTCATTTATAGTAGTTGGCTTAGAATAATGCCTAGAGGAGCGGAGGACAGAAACCCTCATCTGCACTAGGGGTACTTCATGGGAGAAGTACAACTTGATCACTTTTGCAATGAGGAGAGTGAGTCTCAGTGAGGCTTAGAGGGAAGGGCCTCTTCTTCCACTTTGTTGCACCCCATTTTGTCTAGCAGGGAGCCTTGCATCTGGGAACACTTGCTGATTTGCTTTGATTAGTCCTACCCACATACCCACTGTTTGTGTCACTGGTGAAGAAACCAGGGCTTTTAAAGGGCTCCTTCCGGTTTCCAGCTTATTCCTCCCCAGAGCTGTGGCAGGGGAAGGAGACCAGTCCCACCCAGGCCTGTCTTGAACATTGTTGCAGGGAGTTTGCATCACCACTGAGATGATTAGCAAAGCCTCTTTAAACAAAATCATGACCTCAGCCTGGAGCTGGCATCTTTCCCTTCCCTGGAATCTTGACAGCTCATTTTCATAGTAAACTCACAATGGGAAACAGCTTTTTCCATAGCTCCTGAGGATGAAACAAAAGGAAATACATTGACAAGCCATCAGGATGGACTGAGATTAGGTTGAAGGAAAAACTCAACCCTAGAAGACCTTTCCAGTATATACAAGGGTGTTGTTTGGAATCAACTGGAAATATTTTTGAGTGTGCCTGGCACTACAGCTGGAAACAAAGGACTTGGAATAAAATATTGTGGTGAAGCTGGGAAGTTGGGACAAGGCTAAGTGTTGAAGAGAAGAAGTGCAGTCCCAGCTACTCGGGAGGCTGAGGCAGGAGGAGCCCTTAATCCCAGGAGGTCGAGACTGCAGTGAACCATGATGGCACCCCTGCACTCCAGCTTGGGCAACAGAAAGAGATCCCATCTTCAAATTAAAGAAAAAAAAAGAGGTCAGTTTTAGCTGTAGGTTAAGAGGACTCATTTAATCATTTGTTTAAACATGTACCAAATACCAGGACCTGTGCTATACTCTGTTTTGTAAAATGCCTAAGACATGATCCATGAGTACCAAGAGATGGAGGGAGCCTAGGAAAGACAGCCTTCAATAATAAGACTGTGTCTATGCACTAAATGCTGTGACAGAAATCCATACAGGGAGGCACAGCCAGTGAAAATATCCCCAAGGATGCTTTGAAACTGGCTAGAAAAGCTCACACATAAGTGGCAGGGTATAATGGAAACATGCTCACTTTGTCATCAAATAGATCTGAATTCAGACTCCAGCCTTGCTGCTTCTTGGCTTCATAACCTCTCTGCTGTTCAGTTTTCTTACCTGTAAAATGTCCTGAATGATCCTTACTTAATTGAGTTGGGCACACAGATCAAACTAGGTTGTTTGTGAAAAATGTCCAGCAAAGACCTGGCCCAGATTAGACACTCAGTGTATGCTAGTAGATTATGATGCGGCCTTCCAGGAACCTTCATACCAGGAAAACCTAGACCTGAATGGGAAACACAAACATTCTAGTTGCTGAATGTATATATTGCTCCATTGTAAATTAATAAATCAGGTTTTTTTCTAGATGCCATACTCTTATAAGTTGAATCTGGTCTGCAAAAGTGTTACTTCAGAGCCAGCCTAATCCTGAATACACTAACAAAATGGAGGACTTCCCTGGGCCAGAAACCAGCATTTTTCTATAGTGTTTTTTTTTTCTTTTTATGTTTCGAGACAGAGTCTCACAGCTGGGTGCAGAGGCTCACGCCTGTAATCCCAGCACTTTGGGAGGCCGAGGCAGGCAAATCACTTGAGGTCAGGAGTTCAAGACCAGCCTGGCCAACAGTAGTAGTAGTAGAAACTCTGTCTCTACTAAAAATTAAAAAAATTTAGCCGGGCATGGTGGCAGGCGCCTGTAGTCCCAGTTACTCGGGAGGGTGAGGCAGGAAAATCGCTTGAACCTGGGAGGTGGAGGTTGCAGTGAGCTGAAATTGTGCCATTGCACTCCAGCCTGGGTGACAAAGCGAGACTGGGTCTCAATTAAAAAAAAAAAAAAGGACCAAGAAGAAGCTTCTCCGCTCCTTCTGGAATCTCTGCCTTATTCAGCCCACCTGCCTCCACTCCTGCCTCCACCATGTCCACCAGGGTGACCCAGAAGTCCTACAGGGTGTCAACCTCTGGTCCCCGGGGCCTTCAGCAGCTGCTCCTACACAAGTGGGCCCAGTGTCCACATCAGCTCCTTGAGCTTCTCCCATGTGGGTAGCAGCAGCTTCCGGGGTGGCCTGGGTGGAGGCTGGGTGGTGGGGCCAGCGGTATGGGTGTGTGTCACTGCTGTCACAGTCATCCAGAGCCTGCTGAGCCCCCTTAACCTGGAGGTGGACCCCATCATCCAGGCTGTGCACATCCAGGAGAAGGAGCAGATCGAGACCCTCAACAAGAAGTTTGCCTCCTTCATAGACAAGGTACCGTTCCTGGAGCAGCAGAATGAGATGCTGGAGACCAAGTGGAGCCTCCTGCAGCAGCGGAAGACGGCTTGGAGCAACATAGACAACATGTTCCAGAGCTACATCAACAACCTTAGGCGGCAGCTGGAGACTCTGAGCCAGGAGAAGCTGAAGCTGGAGTGGAGCTTGGCAACATGCAGGGGCTGGTGGAGGACTTCAAGAACAAGTATGAGGATGAGATCAATAAGCATACAGAGATGGAGAATGAATTTGTCCTCATCAAGAAGGATGTGGATGAAGCTTACACAAACAAGGTAGAGCTGGAGTCTTCCCTGGAAGGGCTGACTGACGAGATCGACTTCCTCAGGCAGCTGTATGAAGAGGCGATACGGGAGCTGCAGTCCCAGATCTCCGATATGTGTGTGGTGCTGCATGTGTGTGGTGCATGGACAATAGCCGCTTCCTGGACACGGACAGCATCATTGCTGAGGTCAAGGCGCAGTACGAGGAGATCGCCAACAGCAGCTGGGCGGACGCTGAGAGCATGCACCAGATCAAGTATGAGGAGCTGCAGATGCTGGCTGGGAAGCCCAGGGATGACCTGCGACTTATAAAGACTGAGATCTTGGAGATGAACCGGAGCATCAGCTGGCTCCAGGCTGAGATTAAGGGCCTTAAA